AAAATATAGATATAACATATAAAATTATATTTTAGAAATATATTTAAATATATATTGAGATTCGATAATTATTTGAAATCTTATAATTTCCGATTATTTCATTGAAATTTATGCATCCTGATTGTGAGTTATATAAAAAGTATATATACATATGTATCACAAATTACAATTATATCATTTACTGGCTGTTATTTAAAATTTATTTTATTTTATTTAATATTTATGATAACAATCTGTAAAATTTATTGCATTTGTATCTTTTATTATCTGCTTTTTTACATTTTCACATTTTTACTATTTTCATATTATTTTCATACAGATTATACAAAATATATAAATATAAATCTCATTTATACATTTATTCTACTTCTTATGAATATCATTTCGTTTTTTTATTACAATTTTTTAATTTATAATTTTATATTTAGCGAATAACATAAAGGAATGTTGAATTAGAGCTCCATTGACGCGGAATATTTTCGCATGACGATTACTTTTTCGGCATTTAGAAATTAGCATATGTGACCGCAGTTTGATTCTTAATAATATTTATAACATTACCAAAATTATACAAATAACAATTGTGCAAAACATATGTGCATAATTATTAAAAATAAATATAAATTGTTATTTCCACATAAGAAGTACAAAAGATATTAATTTCGATGGTTTAAATAACCATTATGTATAGAAATTTTGAGAGACATGAGATAAAAGTAATGCTTTATTACTCGCTCTTTTCTTTTTCGTCGTGTGATTCTTGGTTTACTTCACCATTAGCCTGTGGTTTTTCATTGACAGAATGAAGGTACTTTGTGAGTCGAAGGAACTCAACTAAACTGCTAACATAAGAGGATAAACCGTCTTTCTTGATAGTGCTCAAATGGTTTACTATGTTTAGGTATACACGTCGAGCAGCTTTATTGGATAGGTGACCGACCGTTTGTAAAGTATGTAACAGTTTATCCTCCTCAGCTATATTGATGTCTGTAATAAAATATTTATAGTTAAGATAATGTATTAAAAAGTAAAAAATATGAAGAAAGGTCACGTTTAAAAAAAATTAAAGAACCGTATTATCTTTGCATTTAAAGATAAATTTGCATAATTATTTAGTTCAACTTTTAATAATTTAATTTAATTTAAATAATACAGATATAAATTATTTTATTATTTTATTATATGAATATGAATATAAATAAAAAATATATGTAGAAATTAATTACTTATTAAATA